ATTACCACAACAGGGATGAGCAAATTGAGGCATGGAGAGGTTAAGTAACTTGTACAAGGTCCACTGCTCATAGGCAAAGCCAGGATTAGGATCCCGGTCTCTCAACTTCAAAGTGCATTTCTTTTTATATTCTAGACCCGGGGTTCTCAAACGTTAAGGTGCCTCAAAACTTCCTAAAGGGCTTGTCAAACCAGTTTGCTGGGCTCTACCTTTCATTTTCTGCTTTTGTAGGTCTAGAGTGGAATCTGAGAATTTACATTTCTAGTAGATTCCTAGAGATGCTGATACTGGTCCAGGGATCACACTTTGAGAATCGCTGACACAGGCAACAGATTGCTTCAAGTTCCTTTTGCCTTCAAATGTCCAAGTTCTTTCTGGCTCTATAACCCTCCTTGAGTCCACAGTAGTGAAATTTCCAGAAAATGCTTTGAGTTTCCACATAGTTGGGTCTGCTCTGCTCTGGGTCATTAGCCCTTTGCCACAGGGTGGCAGCAGCAGCCCAGGCACCGAGGGTTTGGCCTTGAGTGCTCTGGACAGCTCATTAGCACCCTATCCCCTGGGTTCCCACTATGTGAGCGAGGCCCTGACTGGCTCCCCATTTCCCTTGGCTGGGTGGAGGAGGGCAGTGGGAGGGGGCTGGGCAGAGGGGGAGGTCGCTGGCACACAGAAGGACAGTTTTGTTCTCTTGGAGACTCTGGGAGAGGAAGCTGGGTGGTCTCCTCAGAGCGTCGAATTGTACCCTTCACAAAACCACCAAGCAGCGCGGAGCTGCTGGGAGAGCCAGGCTTCACAAAAGCCTTGGAGGAGAGTGGCAGGGGCTGCTGGCCGCCCTAGCGCAGAGGCTGGGCCCCTTGGCAAAGAGGCTGGCAGACTCTCCATGGCAGCTTCCCAGGGGTCCTCGAGGGCCTGGGCAAAGCCTCCCTCCATAAGTTGTAGGTCTGTGGCTTATCAGGAGTCCCTCCAGGGCACCATGGGCCCCTTCTCCAGTGTCACTTCCAGGCCTCTTCCTCTTTTGTGAAGTTGGTTTTGTTCTAAACGTATTAAGAAACTTCCTGAGTGCCAGGAACGATGCTGAGAAATTAAATCTATATCCATATATTTAAGATTAGCCAGCTGAAGTTTGACCTGTCATTTGCTAAGCTTAGTCGAACCATTTAGCTAAGTCCACTTTAACGTAACATCTTCTCCAAAGCAAGGTACCTGATGTGAAAGTTGGTTTGGAGATGATGGACTTCAACCCCTGGGCAGACAGATGAGGACTCTGGGTTTCAGGGAGGCTACTGTTCAGGGATCATTTTTTAGCTTGGCTATGTGAGTTTTCTAACAAATGTCTGACTTTCTCAAGTTTATTTTCTACTTCTCTGGCTAATAGATTCTCATGGCTTCAAGGAAAGAGTGCCTCCCTGAGCCACCTCAGTTGCAAGGCAGGGGACTTTGGTGACAGTTTTCAGACTTGAGTTGTTGACAAGAATCTTTGTGGGTTACATTCTCCCCAGGACATACCAATAATCCATTCAGTGTGCTGAGCTGAGCTGACTCCTGAATGATCTTTATTTTCTCTTGTGACAGCTGTCACCAGAAGCTCCTGGCTGGCAGCTTTCAGGACTTATTATGATCCCCTGAACCTACAGAGTTGAGAAAGAAATTCCAAAGTTGTCATGGGACACCATCTTCTAGTAGGTTCAGTGCTGTCTTTATCGTGGCTGAGCATATGTCTTATTGGGAAAGAGTTTATGATTTTACTTTGTTTCCTTCTGTAGAACCAGTCACCTCTGCTTCTCATATCCCCCATCCATGGCTGTCAGAAGGGACTTTTGGGGGAATGATTCCCATACATGGAGTCTGGAGTTCCCTGATAACCTTTGAAAAAATGCCTCATTCTTAATTTTACAGTGATGGAAAATGGATCATTTTTGAATAGCACAATATGAAAAAAAAATGAGTGCATTTCTAAAAGGTGCCCCCAAATGAAAAGAATGTGTCTCTCCTTGCAAAATGGTATGTGTGTGCCAATTTTTTCAGCCCTGTAATGGATTAGAGAAAATATTTTATTTTGGGTGAGGGGTGCAGAGGCAGAAGGAGTAGGAACCGGAAAGGAAAGGGAAGAAAAGAAAAACAGATGTGAATCTTAAAATATTTCAAGCATAGATGACTGAAACATTGTTTAATTTATTTAAGACAGTTCTGTGAAGTCTTGAAGGTGATTCATCAGGCTTTTTAACTGTGGCCACAAGATTTACAAGCACAGAATAAGTGCTAATGCACCCAGAACAAATACATAGGAAATGCCAGAGAGGAACTTTTTAAAGCATGTTTTTGCCTTTAGAGAGAAATTCAAAATAGGAACGATTATATTATAATGAAGACAACTTCCTAACACACAAGCTCTTGTATTATCTCCTTTTCACTTTATTTTCAGTTCATTTCACTTATTCATGAGGTTTTTCTGATTTGCAAATTAAAATACAGGACGCCCTGCACAGTATTTTGCATACTTACACTAACACATTATTTGTTATTTAACACTTAAGATTTATTATTTATCTGAAATTCAAATTTAACGGGGTGTCCTATATTTTACCTGACTACTCTACTTACAGGTGGGGAATTCAGTAAGCCATGAATATTTCAAAACTGAAGATTGAGATAGATAGCAGGTTTGTGGGCAGGATGAGGCGTGACCGTTGGGCTGGGGAATGTCGTCCCACCTTCTGAGTCAGTGACTGGGAGACAGAAGGGAAAGACCAGAATCTGGAATAAGATGCTGAAAGGTGGTGGGGGGAGAGCATTCCCAGAAAAAAGGGGATCCCTTTGAAGAGACTGTTGCATAAGCAGAGAGAAATGTGAAATGGAGGCACTGAGGAATTTTAAACCTCCTGTTGATTTTCTCAGATTACTCCCTCTCTGCCCGCAGAATTTGGAATCCCAGGTTACTCGGGGCTCCCTGAGCAATCAGCCCAGCACGAGCGCCGGGCTCCCTCTGGTGGCCACTGTGAGCACCACTCTCCCGGACTCTGCTTAGATTAACCCACAGTTTTTCATCTTCGCTGTCCCCTTCGCTCTTCTTCCTTCTTTTTCTGTCCGTTTATTCATTAGGAAGCGTGACACCTTTCAAATGCTCTGGCCCCAGGATGAGGCTACACAGAGCTGGGCATTGTTGCCCCAGTTCTGGGACCACCCGGGTCGGAAAAGGGGAAGCTCTGCGGGCTCTGAGGCCGGATGAGTGACAGGAGCCTTGGGTCAAGTGCCCAGCGGGCTGCCCGGAAAGAGGCAGTGTGCTTCCGACCCCCAAGCAGATCGTCCCCACAGGGCGCCCCCTCCAGCAGGCAGCGAGCCCTTCCTCCAAGCTTCCTTCAGAACCACGCAATTAATGGCACTAAAATTTCTATTTTCAACGTTATGTGTAGAATAAAGGCATATATAAAAAAAGGATTTAACTAGTAAAATAAGATTTTTTTTTTTTTAAATTGAAATAGGGACCGTGATGCTGACAGGATGAATTTAGGAAGGGAAGGATACAGACCCTAACTTCTGAGAGTCTAGGATTTAAAAATTTTGTTAATTGTACTTAGAAACATTAAAAAAAAAAGTTAACCTGAACATTTTTCATAGTTCCATTTGTGAACAAATCTGTGACTACCACATGTAGGAACCAGTGTAGGAATGACCAGCTTCTCACATCTGCACTGTAGGGATCGGGAAATCTAACTTGAGCTGCGGAAGGAAATCCCTCACCACAAGAGAAAGCACTTCCTAGCTGTGGGTTGATCTTTTGTGGCACTTCCCTGAATGCTTCTCAGTGTCCAGAAGGTCCCACAGGCACACAGATGTTTATCCCTTGGGGGCGGGGGGCGGGGGGTGGGTGTGGGTGTGGCAGGTTTGGTTCCCTCAGGCCAAGTAGCCTCCTTCCTATACCCAAATTGACTATGTGAATATCTTCTATGCCTTGGAAGAAGGTAGGAATGTATTGATCAAATACAATCATTTGCCATTTCCCTACCATAAGATCCTATAAGGGAAACTGATGGAAATTAGAAGTTTTTCCCTAAAAAAAAAAAAAGGCAAATGCATAAAACTTTCTTCACAATTTTAAGGACTATAAACTCATAAAGTCTTCACCATGGATGACCTAGGAGTCCATGAATCCTATTTTAGAGACTTTCCTCTAGGTAGCTGCCCCTGCAGAGGGGGTCAGATTTAAGAGTGTCTATACCCAACTTCAGTCTGGAAATCTCATGATATTGCCTGTCCCTTCCTTCCTTCCTCCCTCCCTCCCTCCCTTCCTCTGGGGATTGAACCCAGGGGCACTAAACCGCTGAGCCACATCTCCAGGTCTTTTTAAACGTTTCTTTTTAGAGAGAGGGTTTTGTTACATTGCTTTGGCCTTGATAAATTGCTGAATCTGGCCTTGAACTTGCGATACCCACTCTCCTGAGCTGCCGGGATTACAGGCGTGTGCCACTGTGACCCATGGCCTGTCAGTTCTTTACTAAAAAGCATGGAAACGTAGTTGTCCAGAAGTTGTTCTGAATGAATATCACGGCTCACTAGTATCCTGGCTGTTTCAAACACCCCTTCAGATTTTACTTAGTTCTTTTCACAAATGGTACTAGAAATCAGAGAGATGGATCTCCCTAATTTGAAGGCTGAGCAGGATGTCACTTTTGGGGAAGAGCTCCACGGTGGCATTGCACTTTTCTAATCCTAACATGGAAATAATTCCATTTATCTGAGAAATCTGAATCTGACCTGGACAAGTAAGTGCAGGATGTTATAGCAAAGAGTTCCCTTCACCTCCTCTTGTTTCCACCTCCCGCCTTTAGGAGGCGAGCAGGAGAACCTGTTCTTGCTCATTTCCTTGTGGTTGTCTCCTTGGCTGTTTCCATCAAGATTTCACCATGTGGCATCCATACCCAGCACCCCCTGAGCTCACAACAAGTTTCATGAGTGGAAAATTAATTTTCCTTTGGGGAAAAGAATGACAACAACATGCAAAGATATTAATGTAAAACTATTTTTTTCTTTATTGAAAATACTCCTACAAAGTAATGCTTCCCATTCCATACCGGGTGCATGGATATGCAGAGCCTGTGATGGGCTGGCAAGAGAATCACACTAGGGGACCTGCTTTCATAAGAAATGGTTAGTATAAAAAACATCACACGGTATAACAGAATTAATCTGACATGATTAATTTTTGCTCTACTGGTGTCATAAGATGACAGCCGTGTACATTAACTTTTGTAGTGTATTTTTCAAATAGAACCTTGACATTAAATGTTTTACTCCACCACAGCCTAATGTTAACTTTTATATGTGCAGAATGCTTGGGATCTCTATAAAAATCTCTAATTGTATATCAGAGGATGTATGTCTAGATTTTCAGTTGGTTAGCGTAATTAAGTCCATTCTTCATCATTTTCTGTCGGAAACTCAAACACAGCTGGTACTGTCTGACAGCTCCCACTGAGTGTCTTTGACTGGATATTCCTTAGGGGGTAAAAATTAATCTCCTCTAAACCTGGGAGCTGCCTTGCCAGAAACTAAAGCTCCTGCTCCCTTTTCTTGCGACCTCATTGACATTATTCACACCAATTCATCTTCTACCATCTCTCCTAGGGACACAAACAAAACTAAAGCAATCCCCACTCCAAGGGGAAAGCTTTGAATGATTTGGCAAGTGCAATCCCAACACAAAGAAGTATCTTGCTTACCTACTTCTAAGAACTTCTGATTAAAATTTTCAGATGAGACACCACCCAGCTCATGGACCCACACTAATGAGCTCATGTGACTTCTTTAATATTTGTAAGAAGTCACTTTATTTTTTTTTTTTTGTGTATACCTTTCTTTGGGAAATGATTTGGAACTGAAGAGAAAAAAATGTTTCAGGCAAAAAACAAAACAAAACAAAAATATCAAAATGAAGCTCTTCTTTTTTATTCTTCCGAAAAGGAAACTACACTCTTGGTGAGTTAAAAATCCTCTTTATAGTGTCAACCATGCTCCGTCCTTTCCTAGCTCTTTAGTGTTCTTTAGTAAGACCACAAGAACACTGTTGCTAGTAACTACTCTTCTGTTTATGTTCTAAGAGTCTGTTCTGTGGTGGGAGATATCCTTTCCAGTGGAGTCCCTTCTGTTTGGGAAGAGTAGAAGAGAAGGGATACTTCCTCTGTTGGAAAGAACTAGGCAAACGGTTTCATGAATAATCCCACTCCTGGAATGGCCTCCTACCTGGTGACTTGTGTAACTGACATCTTGGACAAAGGACTGGGTGAACCACACGCCATCCTGACCCTACATAGAAATGTTCTCTCCCATGAAGTGTCCTTTCTGAGAGTTCCATGCTCCATGGAATGGAACCTGGTGCAGGATATTCCAAGGGGAAATAGAAGTCAGGTTCTTCCATGATGTCACAGGAGGTGTGGGCTGGAGGAACTGTAAAGGCATCTAGGGGAGTCACCTATTTTATAGGTGAGGACACTTGGCCCTAGAGATGAGCTGTGACTTGCTCAAGGCCACACAGCAACTTCACTTTCTGTTCCTCCTCACAGCTGTGCTCTGTGTGATATAAGTTGTCCTGCTACTACTAAAGTGAGGATGCAAGTCAGAAGAGAAAGGGGAAAAGCCCTTCCACTGTCCAAGCCACAACTGATTGCTGCTCCTCAAGTTGTTAACACTTTGAGACTAAAAGTCAAAACGTTTTTTAAAATTTGCAAGTTGACTTAAAATGATTTTAGCTCACTATTTGTTTGATCCCAGTACCTTATTAGGGTACTTCTAGGACAATCACATTTATAGGACGATGTGCCACATTCCTTGGTAAGATCTGATCAAGACTGTTTTTGATCCCAGTACCTTTTTAGGGAAGACAAAGATGAAATGATTTTAAATTTTCAAGTATGGGATGAAAATGAAAATAATTCATTTGGGCCACTGCAAAATCCTCCCTTATTTTTGGATGAATAGTTTCCAATCCTAGCAGAGTAGGGAGGAGAAAGGAGGGAAAGCGCTCACCGGAGACAGTGAGCTATGATGAGATGGACATGGTTCTTAACAGTTTGCAAACACCTGATGCTCAAGACAGCATTTCTTGGTGTTAGTCTACATCTTGCTTTCACTGTCGATGGGTTTCTCAGTGTCATTGTCCTGGGCAATCAGCTGGTATGGTTTCTTCATTTCATTCTCTTCGATCACTGAGTTACCCATTTCAACATCTTGGTTCTTCAGCTCATGTCTTGACAAGTGCTCAACAATTCCAGCTCCCAGGGAGTCACCCAGCACGTTGGTGGTGGTCCGGAGGCGGTCCCTGTGGGTGGAGTGGGAAGGAAGGAGAGGAGGCTCCTGTGAGCACCACGAGAGCTCAACTTCTACTGGGAAATCTCCTGGGAAGTCTACAGAAAGCCTCTCTTAAAATCCAGGGGGCGTGTCTACCAACTGCAAGGTCACATTCTGGACATAGTAGCTATAAAAGTTGTAAAAACACATAGACCATCAGTGTCCAGTGACTAGCTGGCTATGGCTACAGTCTCAGCAGTGGGGAAGAACCCCTCTCTTTCTCCTTTTTAAAAATAACTTTTTATTTGTTTCTTCTTCTTTTTTTTAATGTGGTGCTGAGGATCGAACCCAGGTCCTCACTCATGCTAGGCAAGTGCTCTACCACTGAGCTACACAATACCAGCCTCTCTCTTTCTCCTTTTATTTAAAATTTCTCTTTCCTCTGATTTACCTTCCATTATGCCAGCAGTTCTCAAAATGTGGCCCTGAGACCCCTGGGGGTCCCCAAGGTCAAAAGTATTCTATAACAACACCAGAATGTGACTTGTCCCTTTCACTCTCACATTCTCATGAATGCGTAGTGGAGTTTTATAGACTACCTGCCATAATGTCAAAACACGCTGGGGGCAGAAGCAGTTGGGATGACTCCAGCTGTCTCATAATAAGACGTTAAGGAGACTTACAAGATGTAAAAATAGGCCCTTCTTCCCACTAAGTTTTTGGGTTGCAAATAGTTGTTTCTCACAAAGAAATGTTATTTATGTTAGTACGTAGTATCATAACTTTCAAATGAATTTAAAAATTTTTAAGTTGTTCTAATATGATAAGAGAGAGCCCACTTAGATAAAAAGGTTGTTTTTTTTTTTAACGCAAAAAGTTTTAAGTGTAAAGTTAAGAAACTCTGAGCACAGTAGCCTCATGCTACAAAAGTGCTGGAGTGACTGAGTGCTGACCAAAAGCCAGAGTCAGGCTGCAGGCTTCCTATGCACCAGTGCATTCAGTCCTCCCAGTACCAGCAGGAGGTGGAGGACATGAGCACCATGTTTTACAGAGGTGGAGACGAGGGGGTCTGGGTAGCCTGCCAGACAGGGCCAGGACATGATCCAAGTGACTAAGGAACTAGTGAATTCAGCATTTTTCACTCTAGTACTCCTCTGTGTTCTTATAGGTATTCACTTTGGGTATCCAAAGGACAAATTTTTCAAAAATGGAAGGGAACTTATGAGCAACAAGGGGCCGAGAAGTAAGCGGGAAGGGTAAGGAAGAGGGCACAGGGATGGGCCCTGGTGGTTAGGGTCTGAGGGTTATGGAGGGTACATTGCTTGGAACTTTCCCCAGAAACCAAAATCAATCCCATGAAGTGACACTAGTTCCATTTCCCACTATCTTCATGGCCACCCCTTGTTTTGGGGGACTCAGATTCAGACAGCTGCATTATATTACACCATTGGAATGGAAAGCACAAGGAGGAAGGGCCTGAACCAGTGTGTGGGGCCTGCAGTTTTGTTCCAGTCACTGTGAGGACGTGTTGTGCAATTCAGAAAGGGCCTTGCTGATTTATGTTGGCTTTGCAAACAGCAGGTTTCCCAACTCTGAATGACTTTATGGAGTGAGAAGCACAGCAGTCAGATGCGCCCCACAGTCTGATAGGGGAGTCAGTGCACATGGCATCTTGGCTGGGTGTCCAGATCACAGCCAGGGATCAGGCAATGAGGACAGTTGGATTCCAGGCCAAACTGCCCCCTTCCTCCGAGTTCTTTTGACAGGTGTGCCAAGCTACTTAGCACCCTCAAAGAATGGTGGTGGTGGTGGTGGGGGGGGGGGCCCTGCAACATGACCTGGAACTCAGTGGACAGGTACTCACAGGAACCAGTCCACTGCGATGATGAGTGTGATGTCGTCAGTGGGCAGGCCCACAGATGTCAGTACAATGACCATCGTGACCAGGCCAGCCTGAGGAATCCCAGCCGCCCCGATGCTCGCAGCTGTGGCTGTGATGCTGTAGAAAGAAAAATTGAAACAGAAAACATTTTTTTTTCTTTTCTTTTCTTTTTTTTTTTTTTTACAAATCTCTCTCAGTTGAGAGTACCCTGCAAAACTCATGGTGCCGGTGCACGATTTGTCATGTTAAAAGCCGAGGATATGCTTTAGAAAAATGGAAATGTGTCTAAAAAAGAGTCAATAAGCTAATGATTGTACCGACATTTATCATGTGTTTGCCATGTGTCGCCATATGGTAAGATGGCTTATCTCATTTGGTCCTCACAACAACCCCCCTGAAGTTGGTCCTACTATTACAGCCATTTTTAAATGGAGATACTAGTGGCTATGTTCTTTTCATGTCCTTACAAGAGTTTGTAAGGTATAAAATGCTATAGAATTATAGTACTAATTTGGTACTAATAAGTCCCCAACCCAAGTGGAGGGGCGTTCAAAGAGTGAACTTGAATGATTAGTGTGGTCAGAAAGAAGATGAAATTTACCAATTCAAAAGCAAAGTGGGTGGTGAACTAAGTTCTGTAGCACTGTACTTTTATTGTGTGTGGTGTCAGTGTGAACCTGCCAAGTGTGTTACCTGTCTGAGACTCAGTCTGTCAAATGTCTATTTGAAGAGTGATGTGAGAATGTGATAACATAGTAAACATTACCTTATATCTAAAATGGTAGTAATAAAGTAATAAGACTGTGGCAGAAAATAATCACGGTTCCCTGTACTGTCTCCTTTCTATGGTTCTAGATGTTTTGGCTGGTTTATGGACAACCAGAATGAAGACTACGCTTCCAGCCTCCCATGGACCTGAGGCCAAGTGGAAATGATGGATCAACTTAGAGGCTGGGCTACTTCTCCACTTCCCATTGGTTAAAATTTGGAGGTGGAGATGAGCCTTCCTAGACCACCTAGACAAGGGTAACACCCTAAGTACTTTGGCACCAAGCCTTGGTCCCTTACTCTGTAGAACACCTACCAGCCATAAGGGTTTTGTGGAGCACAGCTGAAAGAGAAATGCATTTCTGTCTTGTTTAAGTCACGGGTACTGTTGTCATTATTTTTAACTCTCACACATGCACTGAACCTTTTTTCCTAACTTGGAACCATTTAACCAACATGCCAAGGTATAGTCAAGAATAGGTATTATGGTTTGGATCTAGAATTCAAGAATAAGTGTTATGGTTTGGATCCATGGTTAGTCCCCAAAGGCTCATGTGCTGAAGGCCTGGTCCCTAGTGCTGCAATGTTTAGAAACGGGGCCTTCAGGAGGTGATAGGACCACAGGCTCTGACCTCATCAGTGTGTTCATCCATTAATGGATTCCTAAGCTGAAGTCATTATTGGGAGGTGGTGGAAACCCACAGGGTAGGGTCTAGTGGGTGGAAGCAAGTCACTGGGGACATGTCCTGGAAGGGTGTATTTTTTTCCCAGCCACTTTCTCTCTCTGCTCTCCTGTTGCCATAAGGTGAACAGCTTTCCTATTCCACACCCTCCCCACCATAATGTTCTGCCTCAGCAGGACCAGAAATAATGGAGCCAGTGACCGTGAACTGAAACCCTGAAACCCTGAGCCAGAATAAATCTTTCCTCCCTGAGGTTGATTTTCTTAGCTATTTTGTCACAGTGATGAAATACTGACTAACACAGTGGGTTAAGGTACGTTGAGATGCTGATCTGCCACCCTCAGTGTAGCTAGACTGGGCCTGGAGCTCCCAGAACCCCAAGGTCAGTCAATGACCTCTGGTTGCCTCCTTTTATTTCCAATTCACCTTACAACAATTCTTCTCTAATGGCATAAACATTTATACAGAGTCTAACATAACATTTTTAAATAAACATAACACTAATGTGGGGTTACTGATAATAGATTAAAAGAGAACATAAAACCAAATGCAGGGCATAAATCTGTATTTAATCTTGGTCTGGGAGAAAAAAGCTATAAAAGGTAATTGGGGAAATCTGAAGCTAGACTGGGTATTCAGGAAGTATTTTTAAGATTCTTACTACTGTGGTGACGTAGAAGAATATCCTTATTTTTAGTTCAATAGTTCCAAGTTAGGAGATACATGACAAATGATATACAGGTGAAATGTTATCATGATAGAGAGAGAGAAGCAGCAAAATGTTACAAAATGTCACAAAACTCTTACAAGCAGCAAAGTGTCTAAAAACAATTTTTAGATCTAAGTAAAGGATGCTTGTCTTGACTTTTCTATACGTAGGGAAACTTTCATAATAAAAAGCTATGAAAGGAAAAGCAAAAAGCTGACCTATTTTGATCTTCAAACATATCGTTAATAATAATTAAAGCCAAACTCCGTAACAATGAAAAGCAGAAGCCAACTTGGATTAGGAGGCTTAAAGCCCCCTGTTGCCATTAGATTTATAAATTCCTTCTGCCTAGTAACTTCCAGTAGGCCAAAGGGGGAGAGAGTAGTATTTGCATATATACACAGAGAAGCATGGGCTGTCTTTGGAAGGGTGCAGGGGAAACTGGCAAGTTACAGTGGTTGCCTCTGTGGAAGGAAACCAAGATTGGGGGAAGGTATGGAAAGAAAATTACCTTTCATGAGACAACTCAAATATAATAGTTAAAAATATTCTCCACAAAAATAAAATTCTCAAATCTTACGTGTCAGCATGATCTGTCATCTATTTTATACGACCTGAAAACTAACCCCAGAGAAAAAACACCAATCCAGTTTTACTGGTGTATTTTTCATTTTCTAATATTGTCTATAATAACCAAAACATTAATGCTTTTTAAAGCTGAAGTAAAATTTGAGACTTTTAAAAAAGAGAAATATCCATACTATGTCTTCCATAGACATTAAAAAGAATGAGCTAGATACATTTATAAATGGCATATTGATAAGCAAACCAATCAAGGGGCACACAGTATATGTGATATGATTAATTACAAAAAAGAAGTGTGAGTGTGTCTATGCAAAGAAAAAGTTCTTTTCACACTGAACATGAATAATGGTTACTTACAGAAAGATGTGGAATGATATGGTGGTGGGTATATGCTTTACTTTTTAGTTTCTATACTTCTATACTATTTACTTTGTTATTAATGAGGGGACATATCTGTAATAAAAAGCTAATAAGATATCTAAATCTAAAAACAAAACTAGTCTTCCAATCTCCAACCTCCGGTACATGTGGGATCTTCTTCCCAACCGGTTTCCTCAACCAACCTTCATCACCTTGTCATCTGCTAAAGTCCTTCTTTTTGTTTGTTTTGGTTTTGCTTTTTGGTACAGGGGATTTATTCAGTGGTGTTTACAGGGAGTGGAGGGGTGCTTTACCACTGAGTTACATCCCCAGCCCTTTTGTAATATTTCTCATTTTGAGATAGGGTCTTAGTTCCCAGGCTGGCCTTGAACTTGTGATCTTCCTGCCTTAGCTTTCAGAGTAGTTGGAATGACAGGGATGTGTCACCACATCTGGCTTAGTGTTATGACTTGCATATGAAGTGTTCTCCCCAAATTCCTGTGTTAATGTAGGAATGTCTGGAGATGAAATGATTGGATTGTGAGAGTTGGAACTTCATCAGTTCATCTCAGTTTGAAGAGAGGAGGTGGTAACTGCAGGCAGGTGAGGTGTGGCTAGAGGAGATGGGTCACTGGGGGTGTGCCCTGGAATGGTTCATCTGTCCTGTAGCCCCTACCTCCTGCTCTGTCTCTCTGCTTCCCAGCTGCCATAAGGTGAGCAGCAGCCCTCCACCATACATTTACATCATAATGTTGCACCTCATCTTGAGCCCAGACCAATGGATTTGGATGACCATGGACTAAACCTCTGAAACTGTGAGCCAAAATAAACTTTTTCCTCCCTAAGTTGTTCTCATCAGGTGTTTGCTCATAGCAACACAAAGTCAACACACTTGGTAAAGTCATTCTCAAAGAACATGTTGTGTAGAACTCTCCCTGTACCTGATTGTAATAATCTGTCCAAAGTTCAGGTCAAAGTTGTTAACTTGAGCGATGAAAATAGCAGCCAAAGCTTCATAGAGGGCGGTCCCGTCCATGTTAATGGTGGCCCCCACAGGGAGCACGAATCTGGTGATGCGTTTGTCCACACCATTGTTCTCTTCCAGGCACTTGAAGGTGATGGGCAGGGTGGCAGAACTGAGAACAGGACAAAGAGCATGTCAGCTGAGGGTTCTGGTACTTCTGAGTAAGTCTGTGTTTGGTCTTTTGGACAGACAGTTCCTTCCTCTCCCATGTCCTAACTTAAAGGGAACTAAGTCAGCACTTGTGTAAATAAGGGAGAGAGGTTAGGAACAGTGTGGCCCCTCATGGGATCACTTGGCAGCTCTCCTGCTTCTGGGTTCCTCTGCGATATCACTTCTGATTATCCCCCATCCCAGCAGCCTGGGCCAGGTCATTCTGCCATTTCTCTCTTAGGCAGATGTCAGCTGGAGAAGGGGATGACTATAAAGAAGAAAGGAAAGTTGACTTCCATGTTGTCCCCCCCAAAGTATATATAGCTAGCTAGTCCCTGAATCCCAAATGGATGCGATCAGCATCGGAGGTGAAAGGGCCTATTTCTTGTTCCTGAAGTTTAAAACTCAGAACAAAATGCCTCCACCTGCCTGCGACCCGAGGGGCCCAGGTTCAAGGTAAAGTTTCAGACACATTTTCTCAGAGGGGTAAGCCACGCACCTTGAAGAGGTTCCCAGAGCTGTGATGAGTGCCTGCAGCAACCCTCCAATGAAAACCCAAGGGTTCTTCCGGGTGACCAGGAAGTAGAGGAGAGGCAGGACGATGACGGCATGAATGAGCAGGCCGACGATGACGGTCACCGTATACATGGCCAGCTGCCCCCCGATCACCCCCATGTCTTCCATCTCCACAATCTTCCCTGCGATCAGGAAGAGGATACCCAGGGGGGCGTACCTGTGGGGAAGCGACACAAGACACCTGGAAGTCTAGTTTCCAACAAGTGGTGAGACAGAGGGAAAGAGGGTGGATTTCCAAACTTTTCTTCCAGGATGCTATTAGGACTTTGTAGAAAGTGAGTTTCTTTCTTTTCTTTTTTAGTTATAAATTCCCCCGAATATTGCAGAATCAGTCTTTCCTCTCACTTAGAATTGTTCAACATTTCTCCTTATACTGTACCTGGTCTTCAGATGCCACCCCCTCCCCTTGCCCCCAACCTCTGCTAAGTGCCAGGACTGCCACAACCCACTGTACTTAGATCCAGACTTTGAAGCATTTTTCACATCATAACCCGCACCCCAAAGTAAGGTAAGAGTCACACAATACCATGCTGGTGTTTCAGATTTGCCTTCAGCCCTTTATTCCAGGGCCTTGATGATTTTTTTCCCCAAATTTACATGCTACTTAGAATATTACTTAAGATTTTTCTTCAAATCATCTTTTTACTTAAGTAAACTTAAGAGAAAAATTTGTGTTATAGTGCAAATGGCAAAAAACTAGTACCATAAATAGGAGACCATTAAATAATTTCAGAACTATTAAAATTAATAAGGTGTATGTATGTACCACCACAATCAGCTTATAGGTGTTCTGAGTAAGTAACTATTACCCACAGGCTGTTACTGCCATTTGTGAGCTTTCCGCTGCAGACGATGAGAGAAAAAAACAAATGACCACAAAATGACTTGTGGCACTGAAATAACCCTGGTTGCTCAAAGGCCCCACTGCCTGGTTTCCAACTCCCTTTGTATGATGTAAACTCACGTTACTAAAAACAGAGAAGCCAATCACCCTTAAGGAGAAAGGTCTGCTGGGAACTGCGGAAGACTTATTGCAAACTGAAAAGCACAATGCTTCTTTCAAATGTCCTTTAAAAATACAGGCCAGGAAATCACAAGAGTACCTGTTTTCAGAAATGCAATAACTCAATGTTGAATGTGTAGTCAAACATACAGCTAGAAAAGCTGCATGTGAGGTTCATTCAGTGACCTTGAAAGGGCTTCTTTCATACAAGAGGTGAAAGGTGGAGGCATTTTAATAATATGAAGATAAATGTCCACTTTCAGCCCTGCCAGCATTTCACAGGAGCCTTCCAATCGGAGGCTCCTGTGGAGACCACATTCTGACCCGTCTTTGTGCACAAGTTCATATCTATCTTGTGCAAACTTCTAAAAAGTGGATTTCTCTGAGCATTGGTGGTATTAAAGACAAAGGACATTTTTAATCATGTTGGTGAGCGAGTGCTTTTCTTAGCAAATAGATGCCTTCCTGCCTCAGGTGCTAAGGAGGAGTCTAGATGTTAAAAATACAGGATAAAAGATAAGCAGCCTCCACATGAGGCCTAAACCAAGCAAAGATTCCCTCCCTGCTGGGCAAAGTTTACTTCCCGAGGTCAATGTTCCATTTTGGAATCAGTCTTTCCTTTTGTCTTCTGCTCTTGGATTCATTAAAGGAAGTCTTGTTATTGTGTCCTAGTGTCCCATGATTCTTCCCGAGTCCTTCTACACATTGCGGCAGAGCTGACGTGTATGTTTCTTGAGGCTCAAATAGAGAGAGGAGTCCTCAATTTTTCTGATGTTCTGGGGCCTCTGTGTGCCCTTCCCTCTACTGGGACTGCTCTTCTCCTGCCACCGTGTGACTGTTTTCTCCAGGTCATCCATGTCTTAGAAAACAGTGCCACCTCAGAAGCCTTTCTATACCCTCCAAGGCAATTTCATGCCTTCTCCCGGTCACCTGCTGTCTTATGTAAGTTTTTCACAGCACTTGTGACTAAAGCATATGGTTAATTTATTTGCATATTTGTTGTTTGTCTCTCTTAAAAGCATGACAAGATCCAGGTAATCCTCCTAGGTTCTCTTCATTGCTGTATCCACAATGCCTGGCATTCCATGCTTGTAATATATAGATACTCAATAAATATGTCTGAAATGAATGAATGAGTAGATGGAAAGTGAGGAATGAGGAATGGGATTCCATAAGCACTAGGATACAAAGAAATTAACACCTTTTGAAAACAAGGAAGTAAACTTATTAAGAGAGACTTGCAGATAGGTTTTAGGCCTCTATGGGCCCAGAAATGCATTACTTTTCTTGTGCTTACCAGAGTGAGATCAATTGCAATTGGCCATCTGGCCTGGTAGCATCTTCTGCAGTACAGAACACATGTTGATGGCAATAAGCATCTTGTATATAGCTTTACAGCAAAGGGAAATACATACCACATTATCACTGCTACCAATCTCATGATGGCTTCGTTAAGAGAATCAAAGAAGTCTCTCAGGGCTTGCCCCTGTTCCTTCATGTTTCCAATCACAAAACCGAAACACATGGAGAAGACAACCAGCCCCAGGGCATTGACCCCATTCACAGATCCTGGAACTGGGACCATCTCCTCTGTGATCCGGGAAAGGGTCTCCATGGCCTCTGACACATTGTTTATCACGGCACTCACGAGGCTTTCGTTGGACGGAATGGGCACTTTAAAGCTTCTCTTCTCATAGTTGGTTTTAAACTTAAAAAATAAAAAAAAAACACAACACGAATTAAAAGAGATTTTCATTTTTTAATGATTTGCTGTTGTTCAAATATTCTATGATGATATAAATTGCTTTATTTTAAGAACATAATGTTATAGAAAGTATCTGATTATCTATCCATCTATTTATTCATCCATCCATCTATCACCTCTATGTGGCAAACCCCTATTCCTCAACACACATGGCACATGTGCACACAAACAAATACACATAAATCACAACACACACTCAAATACATAAAAAATCATGACAGAGAAGAGATAACTGGGTAAATAAATAGTTGAACCAAACACACACATGTGCTTTTGCTTTCTTCTGACACCCTAATAAAAAGACAATAATGGGATTTTTAAAAGCCATAAAACCCAAATATTCACAATAGTCCTTTTACTTCCTGTGGGGATCGTGCTATGGGACCATGAACAAATCACCTAACACCTTTTCTCTCCTATTCCATAGCTGTCAAACAGGGATAACTGTGCTGGTTCTACCTCACAGGGCTGTTGCAATGGTCAAATGAATCATAACATGAGAACATTTTGTAAATTTTAAAGAACTAGGCTAAGGTTGGCTCAGTGACAAAGCCTTTCAGGAATTAGACTCAGCTGGGGATTTCAGTGGACATTAAAAATGAAAAATCTAAAAACACCACTGTTTAAATAATTCCTGATATTATCAGTTCTTAAGAAGAGGTGCCTGGTGAATAGTTGGTGTCGTAATCTTCCAGTCTGGGTCTCCAAGTTCATGGTGGTATTTCTCTTCTAACTCAAGCGATGGCCTTTCCTGATAGCTTCAACATAAATGTGCCAGGCGGGAGATGCTGACAACTTTGCGGTGGCCACATGAAACAATGAAGCCCAACCTTCTATGGTATTAATGAGAGTGAGATTCCTGGCCTTGACAGTGATGGTAGCAAAGCATCAGTAAGAGTAATAACACATGAATGTTGACTGGATCTAGAGCCTAGGGGAAGCGTGGCCAGACAGGAAGTGCTTGGCCATTTCTTTGTCAAAAGTACGTGGGAGACTTTCTGGTCCATTGGGAAACCATTATTCCCAAAAAAGGACATGGCTGCTGTCAGTTCTGGGGATGCATCCCTGAACAACCAGTGGTACTGCTGGGAGTTTCAAGCAACAAAGGACATCCTGTTCTAGCCAACTCTCAAATATCTTCACACTGTTGGGTGCTTATGCATTTTACAGATTGTCCATGGTAGATTTTCAATTCTGATCAGCTTTTTCTATGATTCCAACTCTTTCTCCTTAGACACAGTTTGCAGCCTACTCAGAAACTATGACCTCATTTGCATTCTGGTCTAAGCCAAATAGATCTGGGGAGATATATTTGCTTCCCCTTCAAAATCCTGTAAATGCAATTCCAAACCAAATACAATAAATGTTCATGAATCAGCACTTTTCCCATCTGAAAGATCTGGAAATCAGTATTTTGATATCACCCAGTGCCAGCTGACTGACTAGAATAGTCAGCCCCGTGGTGCTAGGGTTGGCTGGTTGTATTGAAAGGGGTTTGTTATTTATGGTTATAGTTGCTTTTGAACAAAGAAAGTTGGATTTTTGGCCTCTCTCTATTTTTTTTTTAAAAGGAAGGATTCTGTTGAAAATTTGCAAGTGTGTGCATGCATGACCTATTAAAAATAGTCTCGATAAAAATTTTAAAAGGGAAAAAACAAAGGGGAACTTAAATGTGTAAAACTTAGTTCTCCCTGAGGTCAGGGTTTTGTTTTGCTGGTTTTATAGATCCCAAGCAGAAAGGTTAGGGAATTACAACAGAGGTGAATTGACACCATCTGGAGAAGTGTTTGCAACTATTATTTAATCTAGAATGTCTGTTTCCCTTTTCATATTTTGAGCAACAAAGCTTTTATAGTCAAGTGAGCTTAAAATGAGCTTTTCTGATTTTTATTCCCTAGTAGTAAAATGTATCAATATCTACAATGCAGAAGACTAAGAGTTGCTTGGATGTGAGGCTAGAAGGAACAGAATCTCACTACAGCCTTCAGGTAGGTGTCTGATCACCTTAAATACTGCTTTTTAGGAAACAGAATGGAATATCAGGAAGATAATTGTTGTCATCACAATGGATCTGAATTCTGTGTCTGCCATTTATTACCTGTGGGAACTGGTGAATGTTATACAACCCCCCCCCCTCCGTTGTTATAAATGAGTGGCCTCTTCAGTAAAAGGAAGACAGAGATGCTCACCATATTTTCGTGAGGGCTAAATATAACATTAGTACTTGGCATACAGCAGGCATTCAAAAAATGATACCAGTCCTTTCTGATATGGTTCTGTTTTAGAATCCCTAAGGCCTTTAGTAGTGATAAATAGTCCAATGATTTTAAAATCAAACCCAGAAACTACAGTAGTCTCTTTAATCTTTAAAGTAAGTTATTAATGCAGTTTATATTGGAGTTTGCTTGCTTCATGGACTTTCACATATGGGAGATGTGGGACAGGGAAAGGAAAGGGGCCACTTGATTAGCCCTCTTAACAATAATAAGGACTCAATGTGCTATCTGTGTGTAGACACACAGTGCTCGGTAAATGGCAAGACTTCAAATACAAGGTAAGAACCATTTCTTGGCCCAGATTTTCTAGAAAACACTGGTGCTTTCCATCTGGTTGGCAAGAGAAATTTTCTTATTAGGGAGAAATGAGGTTTGGGGAATAGAGGGTCCCACTTGGTATGGTATGCCAAAGAGGAATTTCAAGGGTGAATTAGTGGCTATAGAGTGTTTACCTGTTTAAAGCAGGCTTCCACCAGATTTGGAGGGAACATATTCCTGCAAAGAAAATAGCAAGCAATTGAAAAATTTCCCATAGTAAGTTTGCTCCTTAGATAGTTTCATTGTGTTGAAGGTAGAGATTTCATTGAACCATGCAGCAAATGAAGAAAGAGAAATTTTGGTGAATTTTATGACTTGAAATGAAGCATATGGTTATCCCTAAGAGTGGCCCATGTAATTCATATTTTTCAGGAAGTACCACATTCACCTTGACTGTCAGCTATTGGGGTTCTTTGTTCAGCCATTATGCCATCAAAACCCTGCTCCAAGGAAGAATCAAAATGAGAATGGAAAACCTTTAATCATTAGCAGCATCACTGACTGAGGTATTATTTAGTAGTGGTTATTTGGGTTATTGTTCCATGTGTCTAGCTCTGAATCCAAAGTTCATGGTTGGACTGTGAAATTTTGTTCTCCAAAAAATCCTCTCAAAGGCTATTGGGGGATGGAACATTGGCAATGAATCCCTGGAGGCTCTTTGGTGGTCAATGGAAGATGGTGCACAAAATCCGAACTTGAGGCTTATGTGGCAGGGTTTGTCACTTTCTCAGAGACTGTCAGAGCAGTTGTTTGAGTTCACTGTCAGGGAGGGGCAACATTCTGGCTACCCAGTGTGACACTGGACAAGGCATGGCACCCATTTGTGTCCTAGCTGACTCATCTGTTAAAGAGAAGATTAGATTAGACCCTCATTGGCAGGAAACATGACCTAGGCAGTTAGATGGGCTCAAAATTCCAAAACTTGGGGCTGGGGTTGTAGCTCAGTGGTAGAGTACTTGCCTAGCATGTGTGAGGCACTGGGTTCAATTCTCAGCACCACATATAAATAAATAAATAAATAAAGGTCCATTGACAACTTAAAAAAAAAAAGGATCCAGAAGTTGTATGTATCACAGCCCTACATTGGGTTATAAACTTGTTTCCTTTTCCTTCATATCTATGCTCCTTGTATTTGCTTCTATAACCTTGATAGAAGTTTGTGTAGAGGAGATGCCAGGATAAAGGCTCAAGCCAAGTGACTGGGTGGAGGCTGGATATTCATACACTTGTCACTAAGGCAAAAGGGGCCAGGAATTCACAGTGCTCTGATGGACCAACCATATTGGGGATTGCAAGAGCCAACTCTTCAAATCAGGGTAGAAATTACAGGAAAAGAGAGTGTGATGAAATACCTCTGATCCAAACTACCTGAGGTCAAGTTCATGGAAACACAGTGAAAAGCTTTAATTAACTTTATGAACTAAATAAAAACATAGTTATTGGTTTGAAATAATATTATAGGGTAGCTTGTTAATTTCTGATCATTGTGATTAACTCCCTGAAAAGGGCTTTCAAGAATGGGCCTCAAGGGCTGGCAGGGCTTACATATAGATGGTGCCAAGTTACCCACAGTGGGAATTGGGGGGTGCTTCTTAGGAGACCCTCATTCCCCAAATCTCTTTTGGACTCTAGCTGCCATAGACCTGCTCCTTGAGATGACATACAAAATCAATCCCTTGGGGGAGCTTCCTTCAGATGATCAAAGGGAGTCCTTCAGAGTGTGTATCTAGGACAGGCAACCTAGCCACTGCGCAGGTGAGTTGTGAAGAAGGGAAGAGAAGGTTAGGTTTGGGGAACACAGTTTGGATGAGGCTACTTGGTGGGGGAATGCAAAGCAGATGGGGGATGTCGAGGCCTCTGCTGGGAAGTCATCCATCTGCCCTTCCAGACCCATTCTCTATTCTTCTCTGTGCCACTGGGCCGTGGCATAATGATTCTTTAGCCTTCTGGTTGCCCACTGGGTGTGTCTAGTGGAATCACTGGTAGGTCACAGGGTAGAGAGAGAAAGTGGCCCATGTATATATTCTCCCAGCTCTCTCTTTGATGGGTTTGGTGGCAGCTCCTTTCCTTCAAATAAGCTAGAGCTTCGATCCGAGGCCCCCGTCCCAGGGCTACAGCCTTTTCTGGGTTCCAGTAACAGCTCCCTTCCTTTGTCTATTCATAGCCAGGATGGTAACAAAGCAGCTTCCTACTATCAGTCCTCTGGTGCCCAGCATCCCTTGGAGGTTCTCTTAACCCTGCTTGTACTTTGCAAACCCTCTTTAATGGTCCTTTTGAGTAATAGTGTATGCTTCTTGCTAGGACCTGACTGATCACAGGGCAGGTGTACATGAGAGAAAGCAGGAAGGCACTAGGATCAACCTCTGGCTTGCTTTACCTTTCTGTGAAAGGTGAACTATTACCAAGTCTGCTTTGAGTATTAGCTAAGACTTGGTTGTAATCAGCTACCCTTTAATGTTTTATTATTGATCTGCCAAATTCTTTCTTCATAAATAGTACAAGAGGAAAAACTTGGGAAGGCAGTGACCAGACAATCTCTAAAGTCCCTTCTGGAACTATATTGTAATGTATAATGAACAATGAAACAGATCACTAGTTCTAAGTTAGAAGTCCAGTGATTAGCCTAAAAACCAGCCTGAAAGAATAAGACTTCTGGAAAGTAAATTACTAATATTCCAAGGTGAACTTCACAGTGGAGAGAACTTAGTGATAAGATTCTGAATCCTAAAAGCAGGGCTCTCAAAATCTTTCCCTTCTCCCTACTCATCTTACATCTTTTATATGAGCTCAGAAATTAGATTCTTAGTTCAGTTTCTGTTAAAAAAAGAAGTAAAGATGTGAGTTTTGTTCCAGGCTTGGTAAGGCTGGTTCAGTAAGACACCTCTCTCAGGGTTTGATTCTCTTCCCCAAATAAGGGAGGCTAGTGGTCAGCATATACCCCAAAGGATGGGCCTGCAAGGACGTACCTGATTAGATCCAGGAAGGCATCTGCAGCGGTCACTTGCACAATTTTGCCTTCTCTGTGCATGTTTTCCTTTGTGCCCTTCCCAGGGTGGATGATGATGACAATGATTATGCCAATCACCACAGCAATGATGGTGGTCGTCATGTAATAGACTACAGCTCGCATGCCCATCTTCCCTGATGCCTTACTATCTAGGGCCGCCATTCCTGGGGAAGGCAAACAGAAGGAGAATTTCAGGAGTCAGATGAAGGAATTCTGCAGTGGAAGACAATGGAAACCGCATTTCCTTCTGTACTCCCCTTCACTCGTCCCACCCGGCAGTGTGTGATAGGAGAACTTGGCCCCACATTGAATCAGAGGATCCCAAAAAGGGAAGGGAAAATCCGTAGGATGGCTGAATATCAGTGAACATGTGGTCACCCATTTTCTGCCCCAAGAGTTGATTCCACTTGGCCAAAGAAGACCTGCTCTGATGGTTTGAAAGTGCAAGTCATTTCTTCCCCTGGTTACTACTGGTTGAGGAGCCTACAAGGAGGAGTTGTGAGTAGTGTGTGTGTACGTATACAGAAATAATAATAAAAAAATTTCCAGTAGGATGATCTAAATTTACTTCGATTTCAAGTATGTGGTGATTTACAGTGACTAACTGCCATTAGATTCTTTCCAAAGAGTGACTATTTTATTAATGTTTTGGGGGAGTATATATTTTATATGGTGTATTTTATGTAACACTGAAGTTATTATTCCCATCACCTGTAGATCTATCTTCAATTTGCATTTTAGGTAAACACTTGTCCTAAAGTCAAAATTCTCATCCAGTTTCTCTGCTGGTTCATCTCATCTCATCAAATAAAAAAAAATTATTTTGGTGGCATTCTTCACATTCCTGCCCTGTTTTCCTCTCCTTGCCCCAGAAGGTCTAGGATACGTCATTGTGAGTTAAAATACCCCTTCCCCTCATTTTCAAGACATCTTCAGAGTCAACTTGAGAGAAATTTTCATCTTGCTAAAAAAGAGGCATGACTTTGAAGGTGGCTGGGTAGCACTAGCTAGTAGGACACAAATCAGTGCTTTTTGGGCTGGAAAATAGTTGGAAAGGACACAAAATTCTCAAAAGACTAAATCGTCTCTAATATGGGCTCTTCCATATCATTTGCTGCTTCCTTACTTTTCTTCTTTCTTTATCCTCCCCGATTCCTCTGTAACACTAAAATCCTATTATATCCTATTCCAATTAGAATTCATCAGACTCTAGGAAATAAAATGTGTAGGTTTAAAATTTTTTTTAAAAAAAGACTATTTTCTTTACTATTTATAATGATGTTTCCATAATGTATTCAAGATTATTTTAAATGCATTTAAATGACAGATATCAGATTCTAATGTTGGTTCAATATTTAGGTAGTGACCATGTCCACATAAACATACTTAGAACAATGTGAAGCATTAAAACAAACAAACAAACGAACAAACAAAAAAATATCCACGATGGCCAGGTAACTGGTTGGGTTTGTTAAAAAATGATACTGAAGATATAAAGGTAAAAAAAATGAAGCCATGACTTTCAATTTACAATTCCATTTGTATTCAAGTCATACAATCTGTAATCTTCATAAGCATATACTTAGTATCTGGTATGTTCTTATTTTTAACAACAACCTATATAGCAGATTTTTTTTTTAAAAAAATTAAGCCTAAGACTAAGGTTTTAGAATCAAGTTTAATGGAGTAGAAACTTGAACTCAGAGTTTATGTAACTAAATTTACTGAATGTTCTGCTTCTGAGAAAACCAATTACAGCTCCCACAAATGAGGAGGCCAACTTGGCTTTAGTGTATGAACATAACCTCCTTTGTCCTTGCCCACTTTCTTGAAACCCAGGGCTAAGTGTCTAGTTATTGAGATGGCACCACTTCAGTAATGAACTACATTATAAATGGGCTAATCTGTTCTCAGCTGAGGTGTCCCCTCCCATCACTTCCATTCTCAGATCCGAATCCTTTGAAAAGATCTTGACTTTCTGTGCTTATGATGATTTATCCTTCCCATGATTGCCTGAACCAGTCACCACTGAAGCCTGCAATTCTTCTGGCTCTTTCCCTCCTGACCCAGGAGTGGTGGAAGCACATTAGGCCGGATATCTCTGCTAGGAGGTACTGGGCCACAGTTTTCTTCCTCTGAGATGCTTTCTTTCCCTCCTCCCATTCTGTGGCACTGCTCCGTACTCATGCCAGCTCTTCTCTGATGCTCCTGTCACTAGTTTTGACCTATAGCTATCAGAGACAATGCTAAATGATCAAGAGGGCACTGGGGAACAAAGTGGGAGACAAAGAGGTTCCATCTCCCCCCAACTCCCTGGGGAGACAGACAGGGAAAGTTATCCCAGTATCCACAGCTGTTGGGCTATCAACTCTAGGAAATAAAATGTGCAGGTTTTACATTTTTTAAAAAATGAAAACCAATACTGAAGTATTTTCTTCATACTTTCTATCCTGAAAAAGCTGAAGACAGCCAGCACAAGGCATTCTCTTAGCCATGAGCACAGAAGGAGAACCATGAGTAACTTGAGAGGCCTCATCTACTTCTGCATGTTGGTCCTTTCTTTCTGAAAGAGAATAAGACCACAGTGGCTATTGTTTTAGCTAAGGAAGAGCAGCGGTGGGTATCTCCATGAAGGTCTTTGTCCTAAAGGGGGCTGAGTTCCATACAGGATACTTGCACACCTTTGCTCCTGGGGTGCTCCAGCTTGTAAAACTAAAAAGACCATCAGGAACAGGGCCATACATCATCAGCAGGGATGCAAGGGCCTTAATACTGGGGAACCAGGAAAGTGGAGAAAAAACTCTGGAAGAGGAAACCCCAAGTGAGCTTCCTTTCCCTTACCTGAACTCCCTTTCCCCCAACCTTGTGAAATATGAGAGACTAAGCTTAGTGCCAGAAACTAAGCACATGTCAGAGGGTCTGGAGGCAAGGTTAAAATACTAAATCACTTTGTAGAAAAGGGAATTTGGGAAAGAATGCCCTAAATGTTTGCAAAGGAGAAAGTTTGCATTGAGCCTTGTCACTTACTTTAAAATATATGGGAGAAAAGGGCACTGGGGCGATGGGGAGACAGGAAACCACTTGGGTATGGGGTATTTGTGGGAATGTGTTACAACAACAATGCATTCATGCATTCATCTAAGTGTGTATTTGAGAAACACATTCCAGAGAGAGCAGTAAAGATAGGGATCTTGACTTGTCTCTCTCTCTCTCTCTTTTTTTTTTTTCATTGGGTTTGGGCTTAGCCCCATTCAAGACATCATGGCATCTTTATTATGAAAACAACCTGCCATTGGAATCAAGACCTTCGTGAGACCCAAGAAATTCTATATTGTGCGATTGCTACAAGTACCATGATGGCTCTTGCAGTCACTACAATGTGTTTGCATGTTTTGTGTTAACCAAAAGTTAATTCAAAATACACAAAACATACAAACACATTGTATATTTTTGTATACTTGCTGGTCCACTGACTCACCAAGTTTTGTGTGTGATGGTACATGTTCATTCGATTCAATGACAATTCTATAATGCAGATGTTATTGTTATTATTTTACAGGTGAAGAAACAAGAGGTGATAGAAGCTAAGTAAACTTCCCAGTGCTGCACAGTTAATAAACAACAGTGGCAGGATCCAAACCCAATGTCCAAGAGTATCCTTACCACTTTAATTCTTAAGGATAAGCAAGGAGCCACCATATTGTACTTGCTTGTTATCCATGCTGACTCTCTTAGCCTTCTGACACTGCATTCAATGTTGAGATGAGCCACTTGGCTTGAGGAAAATTCTACGGAAGGTTGTCATTGTGGAAAGCCTCTGTCCAGTTCTTCCGCATTCCCTAAACATACCTGAAGGCTGAGCTGAGGAATGCTGGCCACTAGAAGGACTAGCTAGAGATCTGAAATATTAGCACAAACTCTTCACCATTCCAGAACATGCATGTTGTAATAGAGGGTGGAGGGCCATGGATTCTTGCTGGCTGTGAGCACTTGAGTCTTATTTTCCTTTTTTGGAAATCTGCCCATCGATAACCAGTCATCAAGCAAGGAACCAATTCTACAAACCTATGATATGTTCACCAATGAGTTAAGCCTTGAAAGGAGACTGAACAGGCTTTCTAGAATGTACAAGATCAAAACTTTGCTTCAAAGACTTAAATAGTTTAGGCAGCAGTCACTTGGAAGATACAGAAAAGAAAGAGAATTCTTTGAAACGATGATGCAATTATGTTTTTGTCTTTGAAGACAGTCTTTGGGTGATCAGTTTAGCACAACAAATATGTACCGAATTCATGGGATTTTGTTTTCTTTTTTGAGGGGAGGGGAATGAATATGTATGTGGAGCTCTGTAAATCTGTATTGTAAATTAGATTCCTTTTGGTATAATATTTGATATGACTTCTTGGATAAGTAAAATATGTATTCAGCCAAATATTAAAGGGTAAAGTAAATAATTCCAAGTTACTAAGGTTCTGCCATTTGCATGGATTTCATTCTCTCATCTGTTGAAATATTTATGTCTTATAAATTAACGTGTTTCAGTCTGCCTCCTCCTATCCAAACCCCAACACCATCAGCACCAATTCCTGTCTCTGGTTTGGAAACGTGGAATCTAAAGCGGCAGACTTCTGTTTTGAATTGTCTTTCCACTGATCCTCATGACATTCCATTGTTCTTCCAAGGCCCCTGGATAAGGCCCAGAAAGAACAGAAAGGGATAATGGCAACTGCTGATGCAAGAAGATTGTTCTGCTTCAGTTTTTATTTTATTTTAGATGTACTCCTCCTCCACAATGCAGTTCTCAAACATCATCTAATGAAAGCCGCCTGTTCTCAGCCCTCCTAGAATTTCAAGATGGGCACACTTACAACCCGGATGAGCTCTAACATGTACCGTATTCATGTGAATACAAGGTGATTTTTTAAATAGGAAAATGAAACTCTAAATCTACAATATACTTCATAATGACAGATTTACAAATAGGTCCCTAAGTCCTATGCAGCTGCCTCCTGCTGGATTTTGGGCACATTGTCACCCCAGAAGGGGAGGGAGCTAGGGGCTAGAAAACTCCCAGAGGAAAGGCAAGAGAGTGAGAACTTTACTTCTTAAGGACAAGCAAGGAGACACCGCAAGCGTTTTTTGATAATATATATAGTTTTTCTGA